CACTTAGAATCAAGCAGAAGGTGAGACGGGGACGAGGGACACACACTCAGTCCCTGCTGCAGACTGCACACGCAGTCAGGGGTCATTTCTATCTTTGAACCGAAGCTCAGAGGTCAGGGTTCTCATGCCTTTGCTGGCTGGGCTTTGGCTGCAGCACGTCCTGACTTCCTCTGTCCCTTGCCTGCAGCAAAAGAACAGGGATGAGGCCGCCCTCAAAGACATCATGGAGGACCTGGACACGAACGCAGACAAGCAGCTGAGCTTTGAGGAGTTCACCATGCTGGTGGCAAAGTTGGTCGTCGCCTCCCATGAGGAGATGCACAAGCACACCCCGAAAGGGCCTGGCCACAGCCATGGGCCAGGGCTTGGGGAGGGGCGTCCAGGCCATGGACGTGGCCATTGCCACTAATCAGGAACCACGGTCCTGCTCAACCGGGGCTCCAGGACCACCTGCCCTGTGCCTTAGTTGTGGGCTGGGGGTCGAGTGATGGGGGTCAAAATAAAGTCTCCTCCAAGTCAGTTCCCTGTGTCCTTCTTCTTCTCCTTCCCAGCCTGTCCCCTCTGGGGCCTGGACGTCCCTTGGCTGTCCCCTTCATTCAGAAACCACACAGCGAGAATCCATGGCTCCCTCCCTGTCCATGACCTGTCCTCTAACTCAGGGCTCGGCACCTTCCTTGAACCTGTCATATCAGCCCTTGTCACCATATTATGCAAGCAGGGGGGATTCCTTCTCCTGGGTGTGCCCAGCCTTCTCTTTCTCAGTCTAATCTTAATCCTTTAGAGGATCTAGAAGAGAAAACAGACAGGGAATGTGGGAGGAGGCACAGGGTTTGGACAGTGGGAACAAAGACAACTTGGGGGTTAAGTACTCACCAACTTCATCTGGGCCCATGAGAGGAGGGGTGAGTCTGAACAGACCTGGGGTACTCCCACGGGCCCTGGGGAAGGGGTGCATGTGGGCAAAGCTGGGAGCGCAGCCCAGGCCCCACCGACTGCAGGGTGCGTGAGTCAGGTCGCTCTGCTGCAGGAGGGGGCAGCCCCCCTTCAGTTCAGAAGCTGAGGCTATACTGCAGAGGGTCCTGAAGAGGAAGAGTTTGAAGCTGAGCTTTGGGGGCCAAACTGAGCTTTCTGGGGGTTCTCAGATTCTTCCAGACCCCGGCACTGCTGCCAGGCTCTGCAGAACCCACTGTCCAGCGGCTTCCTAGGAACGTCTGCTCCCCACTCAGAGGGGTGTCTAGTGCCCCTTGCTTGTGACAGGCACACCATAGCGACTTCTGTGCATCTGTCCCTCCATCCAGTCTGAGAGTGTTGCCATCAAATCCCTTTCCAAGGTTATACCAGACTGAGGTCTTCTTCAAGCCGCAGCCCAGGGTAGATGCATTGCCAGTGCCCTGTATTTCCAGCAGACAAAAGGATCTGTCTTCGTGGGGTTTTGGAAGAGCGGGGGAAAGAGCTATAACCTCTTCCCCTGGTTGTTAATGAAGAAAATGAGATACAGAGTGAAAAGAGACTAATTTTAGGTCTTGCAGTGGTAGAGTTGATCAAGATTGTTCAGGGATCGTTGTCTGACTGAAATCTAATAATGAACAGCTTTGTAATGCTCTATCTCACAGTGATTCAATAAAAATTTAAAAAAACAAAAATTATAAAGAAAAAAAATGCACCTTACTGTGGGTCATAGCCAGTAAAAGAAAAAAAAAAGACTGTTTAGGGATGAAGCACTGCCTCCTGCCATTGACAGACGTCTGCTCCTTGCCGAGCACAGAGTATGAAGAAGGAAGCAGGTGTTTGCATGTGCTCCCCATGACTCCAGACCTACTGTACCTAACCTTGCGGACCCCAGAGCTAAGGGCCTACAGTGGCACAGGGATTTGGGGAATCTCAGGTAAGGGAGTGAAGTTGTTTCCAGCTCCAAGCTGAGAAGCTTCTGGTGCAAAGTTCAAACACTCCAGTACTTCCCTGCCTGCCTTGTGGGCCTAAGAGTCCAAGATGCTCCACCCTCAGATTTGGGAGGGGTCAGCTCTCTAAATGCAACTTGGCACAGAGGAAGAAGAACCAGGGTGGGCATTGGGGGGTCTGAATTCTGACAAACATGCAGGTAATTTTAATTTTTTTCTCATTTAAAAAAATTGGCCTTGGCAGCGGCCAAGACTCTGAGACTATAAAAACCAGCTCCCGGAACCGCGCGGCCGCACTTGCGGCCATGCAATATCTTATTATGACATCTCATTCCTACTTTGACAAACTGGCAGGCTACCGAATGTAGCCTGCCCACACAGCAGAGTCTGGAAAACTCCCCGTGGCATACCCAATATGCCAAATACCAGTAACAATGATGGGTCTCATTCTCCTAAAGAGCCTTGAATATAACCTCAGGGCCAGGATGAAGGAGACGTTACTGGGGCCTGCTCGAGGCAATCGACGAATAACAGGATGATCTGTGATCTGTGATCTGAAAAAAATTGATTGAGGATCTGTAACTCACAATAATGTTAACAATAGTTTTCCATGCCTACCTTTCCGACACCAAACCCATCACTAGTGTACACTCCCTCCCACCCAGGTCCCCAATGCCCCTTCCTTTCAGCACTCACCCCCACCACCAACTTAGTTCTGTGCATCAGGTCTCTTGTGTTGTTTTTGGCCCTTTGTTACTACTTTGCTGTGTATCTTTCAGGCCCACATATGAGAGAGATTTTTATTTATCCATTTCCTTATGACTGACTTCACTCAGCACAACATCCTCTAGTTGCAACTATGTTGCAGCAAAGTGCATGATTTTGGTTTTTTTAGAGCTACTTAGTATCCCATTTGTGTACATGCCTCACTTATTGATCACTTTGGGTTGTTTCCATATCTTGGCTTTTGTGCTTAGTGCTGCAATAAAACTAAGTTTGCATATATTCTTTTAATTTAGTAGGGTGTTTTGACTTGCTTTTGGGATAGATGCCAAGAACTTCTATTACTGAGTTGTATGGGAGATCTCTCAAAAAACTCCTATTTTTTTGAGAGATCTATACATTGCTTTCCATAGAAGTTGAACAGTAGATATTCAACTTCCCATAGATGTCAACAGTGGGTGATTGTTCCTTTCTCATCACAACTCCACCAACACTTGCTATTTTCAGACTTCTGATATATGGTATTCCCACCGGTATGAGGTATTATATAAATGCTTTTTTGATTTACATTTTACTAATCATGAGTGATGAACACTTTGTTATATGCATAGTGGACATCTGTAGGCTTTCCTTGGGTAAGTGTTCATTTCCTCTTTGCATTTTTGGATGGGGCTGCTGGGTTTTTGTTGTTGCTGTTGTTGTTGATCTTTGCAAGTGTTTTATAGATCTTGAATATCAACCCTTTCTGATGCACTATGTGCAAATATTTTCTCCCACTCAGTAAGGCGTCTTTTTTAAATTATAGCTTGAGTTTCTTTTGTTGTGTGGAAGCTTTTTTAATTTGATGTAGCTCTCTTTATCCTTAGTTTATTTTTGTTTTTGTCATTGCTTCTGTTTCCTCTCATTGAAGTACCGCTATGGTCAATTTTTTGAGAGTTCTATCAATATTTACTTCATTATATTTTAAGGACTCTGGTCTAATCTTAAGGTTTTGGATCTAGTTTAAGTTCACATTTGTGAGGTAAGGTTCTGATTTCTGATTTCTTTTCTTTATTTTTTAAAAAAAATTTTATTAATGAAACACCATGAGGTACAGTTGTAGACTTACAAATTTTTGTGCTTGGGTTTTGATTATACAATGATCAAATACCCATCCCTCCACCAGTGCCCATTTTCCACCACCATGGATTCCAGTTTCCCTCCCACCCCCAGCTCCCCCATCCCACTCTGCCTCTGTGGTAGGGCATTCCCTTTTGTTCTCTCTCTCCTTTTGGGTTCTGTGGTTTGCAAGAGAGGCATTAAATGGCAATCATGTTCAGTCTATAGTCTACTTTCAATATGCATCTCCCATCCTGGGAGGATCCTCCAAACACCCTTTATTTAGTGCTCCCTTCTCTATCTGAGCTGCCTTTTCCCCTAGCATGCCCAGCTGGCCTCTAAACCATGGAGTAATCTTCCTGGTACTTATCTCGGCTATTCTGGGGTATTAATCTCCTATTTTGTTACTTTATGTCCACCAGATGAATGCAATCTTTTTATGTCTGTCCCTCTCTTTCTGACTCATTTCACTTTAGCATTATACTTTTCATGTAGTACCACTTGTATGTAAATTTCATGACTTCATCTTTTCTAACAGCTACATAGTACTCCATTGTGTAGCTGTACCAAAGTTTCTTTAACCAGTCATCTGTTCTCGGGGACTCAGGTTTTTTCCAGATTCTGGCTATTGTAAAGAGTGCTGCAATGAACAAACAAGTGCAGATGTCGCTTCAACTAAAGTTGCAGGCTATAAAATCAATACCCAAAAGTCCATGGCCTTCCTATACACAAACAGTGAGAGAGAAGAAAGTGACATGAAAAAAACAATCCCGTTCACAATTGTACCCCAGAAAATCAAGTACCTAGGAATCAGCTTAACTAAGGAAGTAAAGGACCTGTACAAAGAAAACTACAAAACGCTACTTCAGGAAATAAAAGAGGACATGAGAAAATGGAAAGATATCCCCTGCTCATGGGTTGGGAGAATTAACATTGTCAAAATGGCAATACTTCCCAAAGCATTGTACAAATTCAATCCCTATAAGGATACCCATGACATTCTTCAAAGAAATGGAGCAAACAATCCTGAAATTCATATGGAACAATAAGTCCCCACGAATAGCTAAAGCAATTCTTTTTTATTAAAAGTGTGTAGCTAGGGGCAGCGGGGCGCTCAGCTGCGGGGAGGCAGCAGGGCGGGCCAGTGTGTCCGTGGCCAGCACAGGCAGGTGGGCACCGGCCCGTGGCGGGGGAGGGGGGGGGAGCGAGCGTGCCAGGGGGACGCGCAGGACCGGGAGCATCGCGGCTCTCACATCGTGAGCTTTTCGTGTGTTGGGGCCAGTTAAGGTGTTCAGAGCTCTGTACACATTTGAACCCAGTACTTCAGATGAATTATGCTTCGAATAAGGTGATATTATCTACATTACTGACATGAGTGATACCAACTGGTGGAAAGGTACTTCCAAAGGCAGGACTGGAGTAATCCCAAGCAACTATGTGGCAGAGCAGGCAGAGTCTATTGACAATCCACTGCATGAAGCTGCAAAAAGAGGCAATTTGAGCTGGTTGAGAGAGTGTTTGAACAACCGAGTTGGGGTCAACGGCTTAGACAAAGCAGGGAGCACGGCCCTGTACTGGGCTAGCCTCAGGGGTCACAAAGATATAGCCGAAATACTGTTGACTCAACCAAACATTGAATTGAACCAGCAGAATAAGTTGGGAGAAACAGCTTTGAATGCACCTGCCTGGAAGGGCTATGTGGATATTGTCCAGTTGCTTCTGGAAAAAGGTGCTAGAATAGACTTAAGAAACAACGAGAAGAAGCTGGCTCTGGACATGGCCACTAACGCGGTCAGTGCATCTCTCCTGAAGAAGAAGCAGGGAGCAGATGCAGTTCGAACATTAAGCAATGCAGAGGACTATCTTGATGATGAAGACTCTGATTAATTCCCTGCCAGAGCATGGAGATCTCAAAATTCTGTTGCTTTTGCCTTTCCGAAGCTTGCCTTTGCGAGAAGAAAATAGTGTTGGTAAATTAAAAAAAAAAAAAAAAGAAAAGTATTCTATATGAGTGTGACAGAATTTCCCTGTGTTTGAATGGAACCTGTAAATTCATTGTTCATAGTTTCTACTTTCAATTTACCTTAAGTGCTGGTCACCTTGGGCCATGGTTACTTTGCAAACCACAGTACATTCTTGTTCTCCAGCATAGGACTATAAGAGATTTATGTCTATTTATCAAGCTAAAGAAATTTAAGGTTTTTCTTTTAAAAGTGGGTGTGGATTTTTAGTTATAATTCTTTACCTCAAGAAGACCTATTTTGTGTAAACCTATTTCTCCCTTCCCAAAGGGACAAATGCTTGTTGTAATAATGAATCAGAAGAATTAACACAAAATTGTCAGCTGTTTTGACAAAAATAAACATTTTCAGTGATGGTAAAAAAAAAGTGTGTGGCTATCCTGCTTCCCACCATTATTCATTGAAGAGATTTTCTTTACTCCACTTTATAAAACAGCTCCTTTGTCATAGATTAACTCTCTATAAATCTGGGGGTTTAACTCAGGACTCTCAATTCTGTTCTATTGGTGTTTGGGTTTATCTTTACTTCAGTACCATGGAGTGTTTGATTATAGCTTTGTAGAATAGTTTAAAATTAGGAAATGTCATGTCTCCCATCTTCTTTTTTTTCTTTGCTCTAGCTATTCAGAGTTTTATGTCACATAAAAATTTTAGTAGAGTTTGTTCCAAGTCTTTGAAAAAAAGTCATTGAAATTTTAAATTCATTAGAGTTATTGCATGGAATCTGTATAAGTATAACCATGTATATACAGTATCTGTACAAGTATAACATGAGTAGGATGGTTATTTTGACAACATTACAGGGGAATGTCTTTTCATTTCCTGGTATTCTCCTGTATTTCCCTTAGCAGTGATTTATAGTTTTCACTGCTTAAGTCTTTCACCTCCCTTGTTAAACTAATTCCTAGGCACTTAAAGTTTGAGACACTGATATTGAAAGAAATAGTCTTTTAAATTTCTTTTCCATCTAGTTTATTATTTGCACACAGGATTGTAATGTATTTTTGTGTATTAATATCATAACCTCATGCAGATACTTCTGAAGGAGGAGAGTATTGTGGCCAGGTAAGGCCAGGAAGTGAGCAGAATGAAATTTGAGGAGGAATGAGGATGGAGGATGTGTGAGAAGGAGAAGGGAAGATGTGGGGAAGAGCAGACTGGATCTGGGCCATATCGCTGACGCTTTATGTGGAAGGAAGATCTTGCATGTGATTTTCACAGCAGCCCCTTCTAACAGCATGCTGCTGAAGTCTGGCACACGTGTACACAGAAGCTTTCCAATAAGTGCCATCAACACACGAATCTTCATATCCTCGAGTTTTCACATCATCTTTGCATTTTTATAATGTTTGTATCCTAGAACACAACATTGATATAGGCACTGGCAGACAAGATTCACTTTGTCAAAAGACCATATTCCCAGACAATAGCAATCAATACGGTAAAAGCTCCAGATGTATTTTATCTTCCTTATTTTTCTTAATTTTTCTTTCCTCAAATTTGCTGTTATAAGAATACAGTAGATGTTGCCTATATCACACAAAATGTGCCAATACCTATTTTATCACCAGGAAGTTTCTAGTTCACAGGAAGCATTAGTAGCTTAGTTTCTGTTGAGTCAAAATCTAAACGTGCGTTTCAACTGCATGCCAGTTGGCATTCCTAACCTCCACATGGTTCAACTACCATCTACAACTATATTCTGGAAAAAGCCTATCTGTGGTATTTGGCATGGGTTTGGGAACTATCAGAAATGAGACCACAGATGTGAGGCTTATGAGAAAACTGCCAAGATGACCAGGCTAGTGCTGATGAGAAGATCATTAAAACTCCCCACCCCCATCTGTGCCAGGAATGTGTGACCCATACCCCTGAGGATAAAGATGATATTTATGTGCTGTTTCCCAAGATCTTGCAGGGGAGAAAAGCCTCAGCTTTCACCAGCCCGGTGAGGCAATATGACACAACCCTGTCACAAGCCCAGCTTGAAGTCAACTTTACCTCAGGACCAGCCCCTTCTCATCAGTGACTGAAAACTTGTAATTTGGAAAGACCCAAGTCAAGGGTTTGGACATTCCAGTTACCAAAGGGACGGAAAGGCAGAAACATCTGGTTGCTCAAACCCTGTTGCCTTTGAAATAATTTCTCTACCTCAAAAATTTAGACAGTCCTCTGCTTGGAGTCTTCAAAGCCCTCTCCCACCTGACAGGCAGGGGTGAAAGGGTGGGAGCTCCTTCATGAGAGAGGTCCAGGCTTTCCATTTTCTCTGGGCATTCATCCCAATTTTTTGCTCAGAAATCTAGAATTGTCGCCAGTGGGTTGTGCGGTGAGGGAGGATTTGTTGCCATACCCCCAGGTAGGCATGGAGGGTATGGGCAGCTGTGGCTTCAATTCATTTTGATCCTCCTTCCCTTCCTTACCCAGCCTGCCCTCCTTTTCATGCCCTTTGTCTTTCCCCTTCCTATATTTTCTCTGAGTATTTTTCTCACATGTAGTCTTAAACTCTCTCGGTCACTGTGGTGAGATGTAGTCCTGGTAGTTGGGGGGCTTCCAGGGAGGAGTTGGCCTTTGAGAAATGACTAAGGGTCACTGTAAGCAGGAATCTGACCCTCTCAAAAAAAGAAGTTTATCACCTGCCAAGGCTCGTAGCCATGGAAGGAGATCATCACAGAGGGAAAGAGTGCAATGGCTGAGGGTATTGAGAATTAATACCCTAATTAATTCCCGGTCTTGACTTCTGGTATTGCCAGGACCTTGGGGAGGATGCTGCCTCCCCAGCGAACCCCTATACCCCTGTGACACTGGACAGAGCCCAATGGAGCCCACCCTGCACACTTTCCACAGCCACCAACACCACCGGTGGCTTATGTATGGCTTATATCATCTGCTCTATCAGACTTTGAGAAAACAGCAACTTAGTTCCAACAAAACAATAGTGACTAGGTTTCCAGACAGTCACCAACGGGTCCCTGAGAAATGCTGTGCTCTGGGTTTCAGCAAGGATGACACAGGCATTGCAGTGATCAAAGTTTGCCTCTAGGTCATATCCAGCTAAGAAGTGAGTCTTAAGGGGCTTAAGGGATAGCTCAAACAGCTGAGATGCTTGCTTTATTGGTTCTGTGTTCCATAGCAAATCATTTCTCCCACCCTCCTCAAGACTGCTGAATATAGTCCTAGAGGACCCTCGCCTGACTGGACCCCACCATTCATCCAACCAGCTGGGTTGCATCTCTGTTCAAGTGTCACCCTTGATCAATATACCTAAACCAGTATACCTTTATTTCCCCTTCTCCCCCTACGTTAGCTTTTTTCATGTCATTTATCATTACCTATCATTGTGAAACGTAATTATTTTTAAAACCATTTTTATTTAGGTAACGCTGTAGTACTGTCCTGTTGTTCATTGATTTGCTCGAGCGGGCACCAGTAACGTCTTCATTGTGATACTTGTTGTTATTGTTTTGGGCATATTGAATATGCCATGGGGAGCTTGCCAGGCTCTGCTGAGCGGGCGGGATACTCTCAGTTGCTTTCCAGGCTCTTCGAGGGGGATGAAGGAATCAAACCTGGGTCAGCTGCATGCAAGGCAAATGCCCTACCCTTGTGCTATCGTTCTAGCCTCTTTAGGTACTTGGATTTATAATAATGTTACTCTTACTTTTCAATTATACATCATTCCAACCACTACAGAACCCAGTTTCCTCCACCAGTGTCCCAAGTACCCCAATTATAAGCTCACTTCTATAAGCAAAATCTTTAATGGCATGTCAAAATCTTATGACATGTTGTTAATTTTTATGTTATTGTCTATATGTTTTCTTTCTAATATTTTCTGATGCCCAAGAGGACAGAGACTTTGGCCTCTGATTTCAAAGTCGCTCAGTGAATATTTTTTGAATGAATACAAAATGAAAAAATATTAGACATTTAATAAATATTTGGTCAGCAAAAGAACCAATAGATAACAGGCTCTCAATATAAATAGCTCCTGTTAGAAGAGTAGGGGTGATGTATGGCACTCTTTTAGAATCATTGACATAGACAAAAAAATGTTCAAGGAGACTTAAGAACTTTTCAAAAATATGCATTTATTAATTTTCACTTTCCTAAAGCCAGTTTGGGTTTGGTTGAGAAGAAGGGAAGGTCTTGAGGACATTGCAGGAAAAGGCCTCTCTGAGCTTCCTATGGCTTGTGTATATTTTCATGGGCTGTCAGTAGCACAGTGATCACCAGGTTTGCAAACTCTTCAAAGTTGACCTGCCCATCTTGATCCGCATCCAGATCTTGGAATATTTTGTCAATAGAATTTTGATCTTTGGATTGCTAGGAGGAAAGAGCAGAGATGGGAAACTCAGACTCCTTCTCTACCTTCTCCGTGACTTGCATCCCTCAGACTTCTGCTTAGGGACGGCTCACCCATTAACCAAAGTTTTGGTGGAGACGTCAACATGACAAATCAAAAGATGGAAGCAACCTCTATTGTGAGTTGTCTTAGACATGAACTCACATGTATCTGGGCCTGGAAGCATGGATGCAGCTCACTGATCCACTCTATCCTCTGTCCTCTTTACAGATGAGTAACTTAGTCCAGAGTAGAGTTGAGTGGAACAGGAGGTGACAAAGTGAATTACTGAGAATAGGAGTCCCTGCTTCATGGGGGAAGGTTGGGAGGCCAGCCTTGGGAGCTAATGGGGTTCCGCCCTTCCTCAGTCCTTGTTTAACTGCCACTTTCGGGCCCCATATCACTCACAATGCAGGGGAGCAACCAAGTCTGAGTTGAAAGGGGCATCACTTACCCTGAGGATGTTCGCCATTTCCCGGTTGATCAGCTTACTCAGATCACCTTTGGTGAGAGTGTCAGCATGCCCCTCTCGGACTGAGTATTGGTGGAAGATGTTGACGATTCCTTCCAGGTAGTCTTCCAACTTTGTCATCTTCCCAACTTCACCTTAACCTGCAGG